TGAAATCCAAAAACTTAAATCCAAAACCTAACAGCAGAAAAGGATTCTGCACAATCTTCCATACCTGACTTGGGTGAAGATGGCGGTGATAGAAATGTTGTTGAAGATCCAGCCCTGACAGCAGAATATAGGACAGAGAGTACTGTTGTGAGCATTCCAAGAATAAGGGTACTTGTGGAGACTGCTTTGGATTTGTTGTGAAGACCATTGCAAACATAGTCACGTGGTTCACTTGAGAGACCAGTGTAGCACACATAAGCACAATAAACTGATATCACAGAAGCAGGTAAGAGGCTGCCATTCACCTGTATAAAATGTCCAGACACAACTACTTTATTAGAGGGAATTTCTCAGGTGCCCTACATTAACATTTTTGGAGTTACAAGGACAGGGAAGTTTTGTAACTGTGCCAAAGGAAAGTAAAAACCTCTGACAGGAAATAAAATTCTGTATACCCCTGACTAATTAGTAGACGTGATGCATAAAACATGCATCCAGCCACATAATACAGAGCTGACACCATATTCAAATTGGTGTAGGACAAATAAGGTCGATTTGTCCAAATAGGAATTTGAGGATAAAAATCTAAACACCACATATAGTATTTTTTAGACATGCACATCTAAAAAGTCTTAAGCATTATATTTAAGTGTTTGATTACATCACAACCAGAAAATTTAGAAACTCTCAAAATATTCTATTGATAATTGAATGATATCTTAAGAAAAAAAATCCCATATATTTATAGTGCTCCCTAAGCAACTGTTACTAAGTAAGATTAAACTGAAAAAATTGTAAAACAAATAAAATTTGGAATGCCATTCCCAATAATATAGGAAACTAATATTAATAATATTAGGATTAATCAGATAGGAAATATAGAAAATTAAATACTAATAAGAACAAAATCCTAAAGTCAATAAAACTATAATAGACTCCTAAATTGTATAACAATTTTATATTTAATTGAATTGTAATGTCTAATCTATTAAGGCAATCTAAAACTAACTCACTCTGCATCACAAACGTCTAGGGGAATTAACCTGTATTTTAACATACCATAGCACATATTCAAAAGATTAAATGCACTATTAAATGCCTAAACTTTCCCAATTCGTTCAATTCAGTGCTTCAACTTTGATTTTGAGCAATTCAGTCACGGAACTTTCATTTTGTTCAATCAAGCGTCTTGACTTTTATTTTGAGCAATTATGTGCTTGAACTTTTATATAGTGCCCAATTAAGTACCTAAATCTAACACTTTAAATGAACAGTACTAAATATGGTGTCATATTTAAATATAGTGCTGTAAAAAAACAGTTATTTAATAGAAAGGGAACAGCAATAAAGCACTATCCACATAGAGATGAGTATGTAAATGACTAGTTAATCTCATCTCTTATACTAGAGCATAGATTGATTCTACTTATAGGAGCTTGATTACTAGAAAGCACAATCTATACTTGGTCCTTACCGCAGGATGCAACGCTACAATACCAAAAATAAACGCAAGAATCATGGTCGTGACAATGAAGAAGATATTTAGACCACAGTCATGACCAGAAGGATTGAACCAGATGAACAGAATTCCTGAGAATGTAAATGTCGCAAGATAGCAAGCAACTGATACAATAAGCAAAGCGATATACCTACATAACCAAACATGAGTTAGAATTTTTGTTAATTGAAAAAGGAAATTTAAGGAGAATAACGTGCTAGGGCATTGAGCATACCATTTTTGCTCATCTCTCTCGACCCATGCATCATTCCAAGTGTGTGTAAAATCTAGTAGTATAATCACTTGAACCAATAAAAATAAGCCTGCACCGAATTTTGACATAATTCCTGAAAGTTGGAAAGTTCATTATTGTCAATAACAAGTTATAGTATCAAATATTAAAAAGACTATAAATTATGTGTTAAACATGCCAATAAATCCAGAAGAAGTTCTCTTCAAAAATCAGAAGAGAAAAACTACCCATTGCCAATTTCTTTCTCACTTAAGTTCACTTGGAGCACATGCTGCCGCAATGATGAGTCCCGCAATTAGTAGTCCCAGAAATAATACTCATGTTTTATTTTAAGTTTGTTGAATAAAAATAAAAAGTAATTGACAGATTTTATATTTATCATATTGGTGCAACCATGCAACAGCATATGAAAAAAAAAAAAAAAAAAAACAGAAAACCAAAATGTCATGGTTTTAAATGAAATCCAGGGTTTTACAGATGTCTGATCCGGGGAACTAATCTGAGGACAATAAGCCCTAGACCTATTTTCCTAGACAAAGGAAATGTTTGTAAAGTGTGAAATAAATTCGTTAAAAAAGGCATAAAAATAGGGAATGAAAAATTCATCCTCAATCCTAAAGTTCTAAGCACTCAAGCTTGATGAATAATCAAAAGAAAACTACCGGAGAAGTTTTTGCATACAAAATTGAGGAGCTATTAATCGCATTCATGTTAATCTTTACTCAAAACACAATCTAAGAAGCCCAAAAAAAAAAAAAAACCTAATTCACGTTATTGCTCGATCATACAGAAAGAGGATTCATATAATAGAATTCTAGTCAAGTAAAACTAACCATATACTGAGATGACTTCATTTGGAAGAAAAAACATAAGGACGACAAGCAAAACCCAAATGATCATCTTAAAGATCCATCCACCGTGATGCCATGAATCACGTCTGTCATTTTGGTCCTTCACACCAATCATTATAAGTGCGAAAAGGCCAAAGAACAGGAAATTCCCCAAGCTTACACGAAGAACTGCTTGTTGTTGAAACCATTCCTTGGAATGGGTATTAGAGGTGTTTATCCCTTGAAACAAAGAAACCATTGGTTAATGAATTTGACTCGGAAGATGAAATTGAGGAAATTAGCTCATTGCTTAGGGAAACCCTGAGAGACCAAACTGGCCGCCTCCATAATCTTTGACAATAACCAATGCTCTAAGAAGAAATAAACAAATCGAACAATTCACAGACACCCAATTATCCATTTGCAGAGAAAATTGCAAGCGCGATGAATACTCGCATGGAAAATCAAAACCCAACTGCGATCTTCAAAAATTACCACAATTATCAATTCTTCAAAGCTAAAAAAGAAACTGAAATTTGAAGGAGAATACGAAAAAGGAAGAACATACATGGGAATTTCTCCAAAAGAGGAGCTGCAACCTCTCTGAGAATCCAAGAAACGATCAAAGAGACGCCGAATAGGCCACAGTAAGCAATCCTCGCTGATTTCTTCGAGATCCCTGAGGCGATCGATGTGCAGAGTCCGCACGTGGCAGTTGCACAGCAAGATGCTAAGCACGACATCGTTCCGACCTTCTTCTCTGTCAATGGAGATTGCTGTGAAACGAGGGGAGACTGACAGGTAGAGGAGGACAAGGTGTTGTACTTTTATGTTTGCGTGCGAAATTTGAAATTCTGAACCTGTGGATTCCGCCGTCTGATCGTGTGGGACCAGAATAACATCAACTCGATCCGACCCGGCCCGACACTATACCAATTCCGTATAGAACCCGACCCATTCAATTTGCTTCGACCCTCCCGACATGAGGCAATTGAATTAATATATTATTTTATATACTCAATTTAAAAAATATTAGGCATATTATATGAATATATATATATATATATATATTAAAAAATGACCTAATTATATTAATTTAGTTTTTCATATAATATATTTCATAATATATAGGCAGAAAGTTATAGTATATTATTTTTTAATGGGCATCATCATGAGGATTTTTTAAATTGTAGAATATTAGTTGTAATTACTAGATTTATAAGGAAATGATGGTAAAATAATTATAAATTTAAAATTTATACAACCAGCTCATGGATTAAAAAGACCATAAAATTGAATTGAAAATTTTTGGGAAAAAAAAGTAAAATTTTAATAAGATCTCACAATATTACAACCCCAAATTATTATAATATTAAACTTTAAAAATCTGTTTAAGATAACTTTCTTTTTGGAAATACATAAGTTTGGGTGAAGAAATGAAATAATTATATGAATAATAAAACAATAATTAATAACTCAAATTAGGAATTTTAGTTTTTTTTTTTTTTTTCAAAAAAATAATTTAGATCAATTTAGATTAATCCAAATCAAATTGACCTCTATATCAATTTTTAGATAATGTGACACGTGACAGTTAATAAGAAAAAAATGTCCAATAAATTTATATCAAGTATCAATTTTGGTGATTTTCAACGTGAATGTTGACAATGTTAAATGCCACAACTAAAAAATGATTAAATTTAATATTTTTTTTAAAGTATAAAAACTAAATTAACACAAAATCAAAATATAGATTAAGGTGAATAAAAATAAATAAAATAAGAACTAATGTATTTAATTCTTAATAAAAGCCATTCTGTTGGATCTTTTATTATAAATATACTGTCATTGATTAAAAATTATTGACAAATAGTATTAGCATCTAAAAAATAAATTTTTAAAACAATTTTTTCATGCAAAAGATTAATTTTTTTGTAGTGTGTCATACTTATTTTGAGAATGAGTTAATATTAAATTTATTATATCTATCGTCTAAAAAAACATTACGTATTTAAAAATAAATATTTTACCATTTCGAATAAAATACTATACCCTAACCTATAAAAACCCATGTTCCCACCTTAGAGCAACGACAAATTATTGTCATCATTTTAAACAAATTAAGACAGTAAGACTTCTTGCTCAAATAATCACCACTCAATTTGAAGATATTCATTATCATTACTTTCGAAAGAAATACTCAAATAATATTTCTTGATTTTTAAGAAAGAAGATCTTCTTACTCATTTATGAAAATATTTTTCCTATACTTAATTTATTTTTTTTATTTTTTATTTATTGAATCACTTAAATTTTTAATCATATAACGTATAATTTATTTAGAAAAGTTTTGCATTTACTTGAAGCACGTGTACTTTCTCAAAATCTTCGAGCCTTGTTAGCAACTTTGCTACATCAGGATAATGTTTCATGATTGATTATTTATAAAGTATTTCTTTTTTTTTAAAAAAAAATATATATATATATGTCTATGTAAATTTCACATTAAAAATGATTAGTACTAACATCATATTATTACTCATTAAAATTTATATCAAATCATGAAATTCTATGATGTGAAATTTTATTTTTTTCTATTATTGACTTGACTTGTGAAGATTTTATATTTAAGAAGAAAAAAAATTAGTGTTGTCTTAATGTTTTACATCTCTGATTTTACTAAATCAAACATACAACAATCAATTTACGATTAGATAAGATAAGATAAGATAAGATAAAATAAAATATCAAATATTTCACAAATAAAAAATGTTGCCAATTAGTAATTGGATGACTTAGTTTGTTTGGAGCAATAAAAACAGCTATAATTAAAATGGAAACTTTTAATCCAAAGTAAAAGAAGCACATCAATGGCTCATGATCAATATCACATTATACACACACACACACACACACATGTCTGAGATGGTGACTGGAAATCAATTGTATAGGGTTTGGTTTTTAGTCAGGCACATGACAGTACAGTAATATATATTTGTGATATTGAGCCAAACTACACTGTTGTGTCATGAAAGGGAATGTTGTGATTGTGGTGCCTCACTTAGTCACATCCCTAAACCTGCATGATACTAACCCAACTTGCTCCACACAACAATTATTTCTACTTTTTCCAAACAGAACCCACCAAAACTCTCCTCTCCCCCACCATCTTGGAAGCTTTCCCAAAAATCTCTCTCATCTTTTCACTTCTCTGCACCCCATCTAAACATATAACTCTATATATCTATGACTTGGTGAACCACAGGTTATATGATTTTTTAAAAATATTTTTCTCGAGGAAAATTCTACTGGTCTTACTTCAAAGAAATTAAATTGATGTATTTCTTTGTGTTTTTGCTTATAAACTCTCTGTGTCCGCCGTGTGTACCTGGCATGGTCCATGTGTTTGAGTGTTATTGGTTGCTATGTAAGTATATAAACAGTCACCCATGTTATGTTAGCTGGAGATTATGGTCATTGTTTGCTTCATGTAAAGAAAGGTCCACCTTAGATTGATCTTGATTAAAGGATCTTATCTTTGATACTTAAAGAGTTTAAGATAAGGTTTGCAGGCCTTTCTTTGCCAATCTTTTGCTTGGCAAGGATTGACATGATTCGACACGTGGAAATGACCCGTGATTAAAATCTTCTTTTTCGTTGGTAACTCATTCAATTTTTTTTTTTATCTTAACCCAAGAGTGTAAGAATTTTTCTCGCAAGTTACTAAATAAACACTTACTTCATATACCAATCATAACAAAATAAACATATTTTACAAATGACGACACATATAGGAGTACAACCAATACTAGATAATTAAGAATTGAGATAAAACATCTTGAATTAAATGATTAACGGGTTCTTGAGAGATGGAGAAGATGTATCATTTTCATTGGTTTGGTATTGAAAAAGTTCCTTCAGCTTTTGGCTGATAATGATGTGGGGGAAGAGAGAAAAAAACTGATCTGGTGTCCAAGAAAAGGATGAAGAAGTGGGGTTTGGAGAGTGTAGAAGATAAGGTTTTGATGTTTGACATTTGAACAGCTTTATACAAATGTGGCAGGCAAAGGTTTTCATTGATATACAAAACTGTTTATGAGTTGAAACAGAGAAAAGAAGGTTGATTGTACACGTGATTTTGATAGGGTAAGAAGGTGCAAGTGGACCCTTATGAACAACAACTCAAAATCTGCATGAATATATGTATAAACTGCTACGTATATATATATATGTGTGTGTGTGTGTGTGTGTGTGTACATATGTGCGTGTTATAGCTGGAAACTGTTATATAGTGTAAACATTTGCAGACAGTGTAAAGTAAGAGGTGATAATGGGAAGCATGAGTGAGAGATTTGGAAGATGGAAGAGAATGATGAGGCGACAGAGAGCCAAGATTTATATCATGAGGGTCTGTATCTCCATGCTACTTTGTTGGGACAAAAACTCCTAACAGTAATATATATACATACATACATACATACATACATATAATATGTATAAATAGTAAGGTTGTAGTGTTAGTTGTAATAATAATAAGAGACAAGATATGTATATTGGTTTCTTTTTTCTTTGTTGATTAGTCTTGTCTACTTAATTATAATTAGGTTCCTGATTAATTAAATACCGTGTGTTCTGTTTTCTGCTATAGATACTACTTTACTGCATATGGTTGGGGTTTTTCCATACACTTTACAAACCTATATATATATATATATATATATATATATCATCATCATCATCATGGGAAAGAAGACTTCTTTGTTGAAATCAATCTCTCTCTCCCCCTTGTCATTTAGGGATAATTATTTCATTTTCTTTTTTTTTTTTTTTTTAAGAACTCAGGTTTTTACACACTGCATATTAAGATGAAATTTTTTAGTCTAATCAAAAAGTATTTTTCTACCTTAATGGAATGCAATGGAGATTTTACTATAGGAAAAGATCATAATATATATATATATGTATATGTAATATGTATACTTTTCACTTTTTTATATCTTTTTTTCTATTAAGTTTTCTATTTTTCTTAGGATTCCTTTTTATTTACTGTTGTTTTTTTTTTCTACATTTTTTTAAAAATACACGAAAAATGTATTTGAGTTATCTATTTGACTTATAAACCCTTTTCATATATAAATAATGAATATTTAATAAGATAATTACTATTAGTTGAAATATTGAGAAAATTATTTAAAATAGTTCAAGACAATAATTTTAACTAATTATTTGAATTAATAAATTAATAAAAAATATTATGAATTAAATTGTAACAAATACTAAATTTCATAAAATTAATATGATAATTTGTCCTACAATATAATTAAGTGAGAATTTATCAAAGTCAGGTGATTTATTACTTACACGCAACTTGATTAACACTTAATGCAACTTTTAATCATTTGCGTTCATGTAGTTTAATTGATCATTAGTTACGTAAATGAATTATGTAACTAATAATTACTCCAAACCCATCCGAAATATAGCATTACTAGATATTCATGGATCCTGTGTGTGTGTGTGTATGTATATGACTAAGTGTTTGTATCTTCAAGTACTTGTTTAATAATAAGTATGATTCTTGACTAGCATGAAGCAAGCAAGACTAAAACCAGTTACTGCTGATAGCCTGAAGATACTGCAAGAAATATGGACAAAGCCCCACCCAAGAAATATATATACACATAATATTATATTATGGTGCTAAATGTGTAGCATACCAAAAACTTTTACTTTACAGACAGAATTTGATTAGATAAAATAATACCATGCAAATAATTTTTCGCATTACGCGCGTTTTCATATATATATATATATATATATGTATGTATGTATGTATATGAAGATTAATATTCAATTAGAATGATATGATGATGGGTAATTGTGATCCGGAAATTGAGGGACCAAATGGTTGAGAAGCAACGAAGGAGACAAAGTAGAAGTGATTAAGGGACAAGGGAGGGCCTTATGAAATAAAATAAGGATAAGCCATTACCCAGTCGCTTTGTCTTCCTCACCCACCCATCACATCCTTTTTTTTTTCTCTCTCACATTTCTCCCTCTTTCCCCCAACTCCTCCGTGTGTGTCTATATGTATATATATATATATAAATTGTAACACCCACCAAATTCTATTTCTGTGCAAGAGCTGTACTGGGTGGAGTACATATTTACAATATATATTGGTTTTGCATATAATATATAAATTTACAGAGAGAGAGAGATGAGGAAGATGGGGTTAGATAGGGTGGCTAAGTTTCGAACATGGCAAAGGTGTTCGAGGCTTGTTCGAGAGCAGAGAACGCGCTTCTACATCATATGGAGGTGTACTGTGATTCTCCTACGTTGGGATGAATCTATCAATGAATGATTTTCAAGGCAAGATACACATATACATACATACATATATATATATATATATATATATATATATATACATATGTGTATACGTACATCAGTTTTTGTAACAATATAGGGTTCTGATCAGATGAGTAGTTGAAAGTTCAACAGTTTTCCAGTTTAGCCTCCCTTTTTCGGTATCATTTTTATGTAGGTTTTTTAGCTTGGAGTATTAAGCAGCTGTAGTTCCTACTTTAGATGTTTGTTTTCTTCCCTCCTTTCTTTCTGACATTTTTGAGAAATGAGAAATGGAAGAAGTATGTAAATTCTGTGTCTTAAGAGTCCATAGAGTTATTATATTTAATTTTATTCAAACTGTAAATGATAATGCAATAAGTAATAAAAATGATATGGGTAATGTTTAATGAACTCCGAGATATAAATATAAGATTGTAAAAGTAAAAGTTTATTTAATTCAATTTATCAACTAAATAGAAATAGATTAGGTATCAAGAAAACATTGAACAAAAGTTTACACTAATCCCAAGCATGTTATACTTGTCTGAATTAACTCAGCAAAAAATCCAAGTTAAAATTTACCAGTGAAATTCAGAGTATAACATTATTGATTAAAAAACCAATACTTTCCCCCATCATACAAAACAACTTCACACGTCTGGAAACAACAACAATTCCGCGCTCATGGCACAAGCTTCAATTTGGAAACTGTTAAAACATCACTGTTACCTTCTCTGTCTTTTAAGTTTTTCACAAAATTGTACAACATATGAAAACAAACACTGATCTTGTTCGTGGTCCAATGAAGAATCGGTTTCTTCGAATCTAACCATCAAAATCTAAATGAAGCTACTGTCCACGAAAATCCTATTATATGCCATATTGTGTATTCAAATAGTATATATATGAATAAACCATACAGAACAGAATATAGCTGAGTGGTTCACTATCTTCTCACTAGGTTAAACCAAGAATTAACATGACTTCATGGTTCCACTTTTCCAGCAAAAGCGTAGCTGGAAACACAATATTTCTCTCCGTAGGATACCAGGCATCAGTCTCAAACTACTTGAAAACTCCACTTATCTTTTGTTCCCGAGAGAAGGCTCAGCAGAAGTCCCTTGAGACCTTGCGGAGCTTGCATCAATACATTCACTAGATTTCTTCGGTGTTTGTTGCCTACTTTGGCCTCCCTGAAACGAAGACAAGATAACAATATTAAGTATCGACTATTCGCATAATAGGACCGCCAGAAAGACACCACTCATTTCATGAAAGATCTCCCTGTGTAGGATAGGTGACGGACCCTATCCCCTTACTTGTACCCCAAAAGAAATACATATATATATATATATATATAAATGTCCCGTAAGTTAAGTGTGCTAAGATAACTCTTCGAGCAATACTCCATTAACATACCACCAGGGACACCAAAATTGCTCACCACCAATTTCGGAGTGTCCATGCTATCAAAAGAATTAAGCATCTGTTCATTTGTATGGTAGATAGGTAAACAATAAGGGAAACTTAATAACTATGACGGTGAGTCAATATTTTGATTAGAACGATCGAAGTGGCATTTCATAGCATAAACCATGGATCATGCAAGCCAATCTGATGATCAAACTAATATTTTTGTTTTCTATTAAAATTTATTTATATACATAAAAACACATGCTTGTTGAAAATAAAAACAACACTTGAAAAACAAAAGTAAAAATAAGACATTAAATTGTAAATAACAAAGTTATTTTTGGTGTTTTCTATAAAACTGCTTTATAGTTGTATTTAACCGTCATACTACACGTTCACATATATTTATGCATAGGCACATGCATAGAAAATAAAAATTAGAAAATTTTTCATCTTCCAAACAGAGCATAATAATTTCAAATGCCCATTTTTCTTCTTTTCTCTTACTTGTGGTCTTTTATTTCTCTTAGTATGTCTAAGCTTCCACAAATTCTTATGATTGGGCATTTGAGAGTTTGGGAGAAGAGGAGAATCCTCTATTATTATTATTGAGCACAAAAATGCCAATTTATAGGCATTTGACCAGAACAAACAAAAGAGATTATGAAAAATATTTTAACAGCTTAACGGAGTGCAACGGTAGTGGGCGTTTTCCAACTGTCGTAACAACCTAGTAAAATACTAATTTACCCCCTAATGTATTTACATTTCTACATATATACATTTCTACACTCCTCAATGTAGGATACATAAATGTTAAATAATTTTAAATTAGATATAAGATTATTAAATTCTCTTTTTGGTAGTGCTTTTATGAGAATGTCTGCAGTTTGTTGACTTGTTGAGATGTATTGTAGTGATATATCCTTACTTTCAATTTTTTCCTTGATGAAGTGTCGATCAATTTTCACATGTTTAGTTCTGTCATGGTGCACAGGATTTTTGGTCATGCTTATAGTTGATAGATTGTCACACCAAATCCTCATAGGAGTGGGAGCTGAGAACCTTAGTTCAAGTAAGATTTTTTTCAATCATACTCCTTCACGTATTCCATGAACAAGAGATCGTAATTCAGCTTCAACGCTGCTTCTTGACACAACAGTTTGTTTCTTACTTCGTCAAGTGACTAGATTGCCTCATACATAAGAACAGTAACCATATGTAGATCTCCTATCAGTTACTGAACCAGCCCAATTAGCATCAGTGTAAGTTTCAATATCTCTGACTATAGTCTTCTGAAAAAATAATCCTTATCTAGGTGTTATCTTTAGGTACCTCAAGATGCGATAGATAGCACTTATATGCTCCTCAGTAGGTTGAGACATGAATTGACTCACAGTGCTTACTGCAAAGCAGATGTCAGGCCTCGTGTGAACTAAATATATAACTTTTCCAACAAGTCACTGAAACATCTCTTTATCAACAAATTTACTATCACATTTAGAGCCAAGTTTAGCATTTGATTTCATAGGAGTCTCTGCAGGTTTACAACTAAGCATACTGTCTCGTTCAGAAGATCTAAGACGTATTTCCATTGAAATAGAGAAATTTCCTTCTTGGATTGAACGATTTCCATTCCAAAAAAAATACTTAAGTATTCCAAGGTCTTTGATTTCAAATTCTTTGGCTAGAAAGTCTTTCAATTTCTAGATTTTTTCATTATGATCACCTGTCAGTATAATGTCATCGACATAAACGATTAATACAGCTCTCTTTCCTGTGATACAGTGTTTGATGAATAGAGTGTGATCAGATTGACACTGTTCGTATCCCATACGCTTCACTGCCCTGGTGAATCTGTCAAACCAAGCACTTGGTGACTGTTTGAGAATATATAGTGTCTTTTTTAGTTTGTGTACTTTTCGTGGATTTATCTTAAGTCCATATGGGACTTCTGTATATACTTCTTGTTCTAGATTACCATTAAAGAAAGCATTCTTCACGTTAAGTTGAAAAATAGACCAATTAAGATTAGAGACTAAAGAGATTAGTACTCGAATTGTGTTATGTTTGGCAACAAGAGCAAACATCTCTTGATAATCGATTCCATATGACTGGGTGAACCCTTTAGCAATAAGTCATGCTTTGTAGCGATTCACACTACCATCAAGATTGTATTTAGTGGTGAAGATCCACTTGTATTCTATTAGAGTTTTCCCTGAAGGTAGATCAGATAACTCCCATATTCCGTTTTTCTCAAAAGCTGAAATTTTTTTTTGGATAGCAGTATTCCACTCAAGAATTTTGAGAGCTTCATGAACTGTTCTCGGTTTTGAAAGGATACTGTCAGACTTACTCATAAGAGTCTGATATTTTGAAGATAGTTTATCATATGAGACATAATCTTGTATGGAATGCATTGTACAAAAGCAAACACCTTTTCGTAAAGCAATAGGTAACCCAATATCATTAGTTGAGTTAGAGATTTCATTACCTGTGTTATTTTGGGTGCTTGGTCCAGGAGTTGAATCATGACAGTGCATAGTTGACTCAAGTATTTTATCTTTACTTTGAGTTTTGTTCCTCCTGATATAGACACGCAACTTACTTACTGCAGGTAATGTACTATCAGTCTCTGTGATGGGTTCAGGTTCAGGTTCTTGGGTAGTTTGAGAGACGGGTTCTTTTTCTAATGTTGTTAATTAAACATGTAATGGAGGTATGTTCACATCCCACAATTGATATTCTTGAGTACCAGATGTCTCCCCTTGAATATCGAGAGTGAGATAAAAGGGTTTGTTATCAAAAAATGTGACATCCATAGTGTTATAGAATCAGCGGGTGACTAGATAAAAATATTTGTAACCTTTCTGAGAGAATGAATACCTGAAAAAAATACACTTAAGGGCTCTATAATCTAGTTTCCCTTTAAGATGGGTGTGGATGTGAACATAGACCAAGCAACCAAAGACTTTAAAAGGAATTGTGTGAGGACTATGAGACTCTGGGAATGCTTGAACAAGGGAGTCATAAGGTGTTCTGAATTTAAGAATACGGGAGGGCATCCTATTGATCAGGTATGTGGCAGTAAGAATAGCTTCTCCCAAAAAAAATTTAGGAACATTTATAGTAAACATGAGTGAGTGAGACAATTCAAAGATATGTATATTTTTGCTTTCTGCTCCACCATTTTGTTGACGGGTGTAAGCACAAGAACATGATAGACGATGCCTTTGGTTAGTAAGGTACTTTCCTATATTGGATGCAAAGTATTCACAGGCATTGTTAATTTTTAACACTTGTATTTTTGTTTCAAATTGAGTTTGAATCATAATATTGAATTTCTGAAAGATTTGACAAATCTCAGATTTTTCTTTCATTAGATAGATTCATATTATTCTAGTGTGATCATCAATGAAAGAGACAAACTATTTTGTACCAGTAATATTTTTCACCTGAGCCGATCACCATACGTCACTATGGATCAACACAAAGGGTTTTGAGAGTTTGTAAGCAATAATGGGATATGAATTGTGAATGTGTTTAGAAAACTGACACTTCACATTGAAATGAATTTGGATTTTTATTTCTGAATAAAACAGAAAATAGTTGTTTCAAATACATAAAGTTTGGATGTCCTAATCTATAATGTCATAACATAATAAATTGTTCAATACTAGAACATCCTACAGATACGGAATTAACACATACTACACTTGTAGTTTGTCCATTTGGAGGTGATATTATGATTGGTAGAAGATAAAGTCCTGATTCCTTCTTAGCACTGTCAACCATCTTCCCCGAGTCCAGGTCCTGAAGCACACATATCCCTTTGTCAAATTTAACCACACAGTTCAAGTCTTTACATAATTTGTTTACAGATAGTAGATTGCAGTCCAAATTTGGTACGTAGAGGACGGAATGTAGAATCAATTCGGTGATATATAGGTTGAGTCAATTCCTGCCACTTTAGAACTTGTTCCATCAGCGATTTTAATAGAAAAAATGTCCTTATACTTACTGTACTGATGAAGAAGTGTAATATCCTTAGTTATATGGTCGGATGCCTCTGAATCAATAATCCACATTTATCTTTTCATAGAATATGTAGATAAACCGAGTAAGCAATTACCTTTCTGAGCAACTGAAGCATTACCATGTAGGCCCCTCTGAGAAAACATTTGCAAAAGAGTCTCCATCTGAGCTAGACTATAGGGAGCTATTTCTGTGGATGTGGGGCCAGAGGATAATTCCTCAGAAATTACCATATTGCCCTCAGCCCTTGAATGCTTTTTTTCAACTGATTTGCTATGTAATTTCTAACACTTCTCACGGGTATGGCCGGGTTTTTTGCAAAACTCACACCACATTTTCTCCTTTCTTTCTCCAGCTTCTGAAACGTGACCCACAAAGGCAGAGGTGTGCTCAGAGACAAGAGCATTGTTCTGGGATTTGCCCAGAGAGGATTTCTTCTGAGCAGCAAGTGTGGAACCCATTTCCATGGCGTTCGGGCCAAACTCTCCCATCATGACTTTCTTCCTACTCTCTTCTCGACAGATTTATGAGAAAGCTTCTCTGAGACTCGGCAGCGGTTTGATGCTCAGAACACGTCCACGAATTTCATCAAAGTTTTTGTTGAGACCCATCAGAAATTTGAAAACCCTTTTTCGTTTAGTGATGGTTTTGAAGATTTTAGAATCGTCGAAGCAGCTCCATTGATGTTCTTCGAAGACAGAGCTGTTGCCAATTGTGGGTGAGGGCGTTGTAGTATTGAGTGACAGAGAGCTCCCCCTGTCGCAGATCATCAAGGTGGCTTTCAATTTCAAAGATTGCTGAAGTGTTATCACGCCTAGAATAGAACTCGTGAGCAGCAACCCAAATATCATGCACAGTCTCATAAAGCAGAAAGTTCTCTAATTTCTGTTGTCATAGAATTCACCAGTCATGACATTATGAGATTATTTTCGACTTTCCACGTACGAGCGTTCGGGTCGTTTGTTGGAAGTTGAACGATTTCTCCAATCAGGTACTCGTCTCTTCCCTTTCCGCGAATGAACATCAAAACAGAGGAGGACCACTAGAGATAGTTGCTTCCATTCAACCTATGTCTAGTGACGAACGAGGGTGCCTGATCAACGTGAGAGTTGTTGACTAACATTGGAAGATAGGATCCTGAAAGAACTTCAGGTGGAGAGGAGGTTTGCTCATCCGTGGCCATTTGGCTTGATTTGGATGATGAATATGGATCAGATTGGCACTGATACCATAAAGAAAATTGAGAATTTGAGAGAAGAGGAGAATCCTCTGTTATATTATTGGGCACAAAGATGCCAATTTATATGCATTTGGCCAGAACAAACAAAAGGGGTTATGTAAAATATTCTAACAGCCTAACGGGGTGCAATGGTAGTGGGCATTTCCCAGCTATCATAAGAACCTACTAAAATACTAATTTACCCTCTAATGTATTTACATTTCTACATATATATATTTTTACACTTTAAAACGACGATACTAAAACCAAAGAAAAATATGGATGATAAGTAATGACTTACTGCTCCCTTTTGGGCAGTTAACCTCCGACTTGATGGAGCCCGGGCCACTGATGAGGCAGCTGCTGCTGCTGCCACACGGATTCTGCAAAAAGAAATTGAAAAACATCCTTCATCAATTTCTTTCTCGGAAAAACATCTTATATTTAAAATAACTGTGATTTAAGTATGGTAAGCACCTTTTATGAACATCAACATATTCATCTGTCTCGTCCACAATCTCCTCCTACGTTGATCGAGAAAAGGAGTCAGCGAACAAGTCAAATTAAAGAATCAACATATCATGTTGCAGAAACTTTTACCTGCAACAGTTCCTCGAAAACATCTTCAAGGGTGATGATACCAATAACTTCACCATCTTCGATATCATCAGACGCAGGAGCTGATCCATTTGTTGCCACATCATTGCGTTGTAAACTGGATGCCTTGTACAGACCAGTGGGCTTAGGAGCTTTTTCAATGTCAACAATAAAAGCTTCTGGCTTTTCATCCTGCTTTGAAAGCAAAGGAGTAGTCAATTGTGAGTCCCCGCTGGTGAACTTGTTCTCTTCACCTTTTTCTCCATCAGGTGTTACAGGAAGAGCCTTGCTTTTCGCTTTAGACTTCACAACAGCTGCCATATGACTGCTTCCTTTTTGAAACTCATTCAGTATATCATACAGAGGCATATCAGCAGGAACCCTGGCAAAGTACCCTCATAAGAAAACTACAGTTTTATATTTGCAGCAAGATTTAAATGCACATGAAGAGATAAGCAAACCTTGGAATTCTCCTTATGGACACAGCACTAACTGGGGTCTCCGTTTCAGGTCGAACAGTAAGAAGACTTTTCACCTACACAGAAACAGGAAAGATAATGACCATAACTAATTCACAAATGTTAGCACCATGAATCAATATAAGCATATAATTTGGACAAATCTGCATGTTTGAATATCTACCAGCAGAAGTCCGATAATATTCTTTGGATTTCCAGCATAAACAGGAACTCGGCTATGTCCACGAGCTAGAATCTTTCCCATTGCTTCCCTGATTTGTAATTTAAAATAAGAAAAGTGAGGAAATAACACAATACATACTTGGTTGAAAGAGAGAGAGAGAGAGAGAGAGCAGATGCCAATTAGAACAATAAAATATATGTTGCATTTGGTTCAAGCTCAGT